TGGGTGTGAAGCTTGGGTTGTAAATGCTGCAGCAAGGAGGCAGTGGAGATGTCCTGTCTAAGGGCAATGTGTGGTGTTAATATTATGCAGAAAATTCAGAGTGTGGAAATTAGAAGGTGTGGAGTTAATAAAAGTATTAGTCAGAGGGCTGAAGAGGGTTTGTTGAGGTGGTTTGGTCATTTAGAGAGAACAGATCAAAGTAGAATGACATGGAGAGAGTATAAATCTGTAGGGGAAGGAAGGCGAGGTAGGGGTCACCCTCAAAAAGGTTGGAGGGAGGGGGTAAAGGAGGGGTTGTGGGCGAGGGGTTTGGACTTCCAGCAAGCATACGTGAGCATGTTAGATAGGAGTGAATGGAGACAAATGGTATTCGGGACCTGATGAGCTGTTGGAGTGTGAGCAGGGTAATATTTAGTGAAGGGATTCAGGGAAACCGGTTATTTTATATAAACGGACTTGAGTTCTGGAAATGGGAAGTACAATGCCTGCACTCTAAAGGTGTTTGAGATATTGGCAGTATTTTTGTACATATTTTTATATTTTATACATATGTGTATTTTTATACGTATATACTTCTAACCTGTTGTATTCTGGGCACCTATGCAAAAACAGTGATTATGTGTGAGTGAGGTAAAAGTGTTAAATGATGATTAAAGTATTTTTTTTTTGGGTCACCCTGCCTCGGTGGGAGACGGCCGACTTGTTGATGTTGATGTTGATATATATATATATATATATATATATATATATATATATATATATATATTATAATATATATATATATATATATATTATATATATATATATATATATATATATATATATATATATATATATATATATATATATATATATTATATATATATATATATATATATATATATATATATATATATATATATATATATATATATATATATATATATATATATATATATATATATATATATATATATATATATATATATATATATATATATATTATTTTTTTTTTTTTTTTTTTTTTTTTTTTTTTCAACAAGTCGGCCGTCTCCCACCGAGGCAGGGTGACCCAAAAAAGAAAGAAAATCCCCAAAAAGAAAATACTTTCATCATCATTCAACACTTTCACCACACTCGCACATTATCACTGTTTTTGCAGAGGTGCTCAGAATACAACAGTCTAGAAGCATACACATATAAAGATACACAACATATCCCTCCAAACTGCCAATATCCCAAAAACCCCCCCTTTAAAGTGCAGGCATTGTACTTCCCATTTCCAGGACTCAAGTCCGACTATATGAAAATAACCGGTTTCCCTGAATCCCTTCACTAAATATTACATAAGAACATAAGAACATAAGAAAGGAGGAACACTGCAGCAGGCCTGTTGGCCCATACTAGGCAGGTCCTTTACAATTCATCCCACTAACAAACATTTGACCAACCCAATTTTCAATGCTACCCAAGAAATAAGCTCTGATGTGCAAGTCCCTCTCAAATCCAACCCTTCCCACTCATGTATTTATCCAACCTAAATTTGAAACTACCCAAAGTCCTAGCCTCAATAACCCAACTAGGTAGACTGTTCCACTCATCAACTACCCTATTTCCAAACCAATACTTTCCTATGTCCTTTCTAAATCTAAACTTACCCTGCTCACACTCCAACAGATCGTCAGGTCCCAAGTACCATTCGTCTCCATTCACTCCTATCTAACACGCTCACGCACGCTTGCTGGAAATCCAAGCCCCTTACCCACAAAACCTCCTTTACCCCCCTCTCTCCAACCCTTTCGAGGACGACCCCTACCCCGCCTTCCTCCCCTATAGATTTATATGCTTTCATGTCATTCTACTGTGATCCATTTCTCTAAATGACCAAACCACCTCAACAACCCCTCTTCTGCCCTCTGACTAATACTTTTATTAACTCCACACTTCTCCTAATTTCCACACTCCGAATTTTTTGCATAATATTTACACCACACATTGCCCTTAGACAGGACATCTCCCTGCTCCAACCGTCTCCTTGCTGCTGCATTTACCACCCAAGCTTCACACCCATATAAGAGTGTTGGTACTACTATACTTTCATACATTCCTTCTTTGCCTCCATAGATAACGTTTTTGACTCCACATATACCTCAAGCACCACTCACCTTTTTCCCTCATCAATTCTATGATTAACTCATCCTTCATAAATCCATCCGCCGACACGTCAACTCCCAAGTATCTGAAAACATTCACTTCTTCCATACTCCTCCTCCCCAATTTGATATCCAATTTTTCTTTATCTAAATCATTTGACACCCTCATCACCTTACTCTTTTCTATGTTCACTTTCAACTTTCTACCTTTACACACATTCCCAAACTCATCCACTAACCTTTGCAATTTTTCTTTAGAATCTCCCATAAGCACAGTATCATCAGCAAAAAGTAACTGTGTCAATTCCCATTTTGAATTTGATTCCCCATAATTTAATCCCACCCCTCTCCCAAACACCCTAGCATTTACTTCCTTTACAACCCCATCTATAAATATATTAAACAACCATGGTGACATTACACATCCCTGTCTAAGACCTACTTTTACCGGGAAGTAGTCTCCCTCTCTTCTACACACCCTAACCTGAGCCTCACTATCCTCATAAAAACTCTTTACAGCATTTAATAACTTACCACCTATTCCATATACTTGCAACATCTGCCACATTGCTCCTCTATCCACTCTATCATATGCCTTTTCTAAATCCATAAATGCAATAAAAACCTCCTATCTTTATCTAAATACTGTTCACATATATGCTTCAATGTAAACACTGATCTACACATCCCCTACCCACTCTAAACCTCCTTGCTCATCCGCAATCCTACATTCTGTCTTACCTCTAATTCTTTCAATTATAACCCTACCGTACACTTTTCCTGGTATACTCAGTAAGCTTATTCCTCTGTAATTTTTACAGTCTCTTTTGTCCCCTTTCCCTTATATAAAGGGACTATACATCTCTCTGCAAAATCCCTATATTGATATATAAATTATAATAAATATATATTATATTGATATGTTATAATATAAATATAAATGATTATATAAATATGATATATATAAATTATAGTATATTATAGTTATATATAAAATAGTTGAATAATATGTTATATAAGATATATTCTATATATGTTTAATTAAATAAAATATTTATATATTATATAAAGATATTTATGTAATAAATATATATTTTATGTTATAAATATATATTTTATAGTTTAATATAAAATATTATATTTTATATGTTTATTTAAATATATATTTTATGATTTATTTAATATATATTTTATATGTTAATATAGATATATATTTTATATGTTTGATAAATAAATATTTTATATGTTATATAAATATATATTTTGTATGTTAAATATTATAAAAATTATATATATTTATTTATAATATATATATTTATATGTTATATTTAAAAATATTGTGTTTTTATATGTTATATAATATGTATTTTATATAAATTCTATAAGATATTTAATTTTTATATTTAAAATACATAATTTCCCCTTCTAGCTGTTGCTGTCTTGCAATAACGAATAGCTCCTGACGATGCACGAGAGCGCGAAAGATCTACAGTTAAAGATTTGCATCCCCATGTGCTTTGCTATTCATTGTTAAGATTGCCCGTTTGTGATTTTATTGCTTGAATAATATTATATATATATATATATATATATATATATATATATATATATATATATATTATATATATATTATATATTAGTACATGCATGCATACATAAAGATATCTCCTAAATATTATTGGCTACTAATACTATTTTATGATGTTAAATATATATTTTTCTTGATATTTTAATCAATTTAAACATTAATATTCTTATAATATCCCATATTGAGACTTTCAACTTGCTCCATCACTAAACTATCGAGTGCTAGTCAAATTATATTTAAGATTTTCTTACTGAAAAATATGAATCACAACTCTTCTTTAGTAATACAACTGTTGCTATTTATATACCAAATACCTTTGACATTTATGATTATTTTTTAATATAGTACATGTACACAAGGCTAAATTTTTAAAAGTTTTAAATATTAATACAGAAATACTGATGGATAGAATTCTCATTATGAAAATAGGGGAATTTTTATAAGATTGCTGAGAGTCCTGATTTAAATAAAGAAAATGTTGAACAAATTTCTTCCCAAGACAGTCGCCAATCTTGAATAATTAGTCTAGTTAAATATGTTTCTGAAGCTTACTCTAAACTTTAACACTGTTCAATAAAGAGAAATTCGTGCACATCAATTACATAGCCTCGGTCGACCTATTCAGTACCAAAAATGCACACGGAAGTGCAAAACTTTTATAGGCCTACAATAATGCGTGCAAATAAGAGCCCCTTGTGTATTTATAATGGTTTTTATACGTGAATTAGGAAATTTACAGCTAATAGTACAAGTATTATGTGATCGATTACAGCGTCTTGGCACTTCCTGTTGTGGCTTCTTATCAAATGATTCACCTGCCAAGACCTTACTGATAAGGCATGAATGAAAACTGTATTACAGTAAGCTACTATTGCGCTTTATATAATCTACCTCCGTTTACTCTTGCGTGCCTAACGGGGAAATTCTTTAATTCACAATGGGGTGACCTTAACTGTGTCACAAGGCAAAGAAAAAAATTGCAAAAGTGAGTGTTAGTGACGAAATTTGGGGAAAATTTCTCTGAAAATGCGGCTTGTGGCAACGTGCGTCTCAGCTGATCGCTCACCACCACCCAAAACAAAGCATCTTGTCAAACACACACGTCTAGTTTAACCACAAACAACAACACCTGGCTAGTTTCTGACGCCTCCGCCACACTACCACGTTAGTTGTTAACCTCTAGGAGGCCACAGGATGAAGGTGATGATTGTAATTTGGTAATAAAACGGAAAACAAGTGGGAGGTCGACTTCTCGCCGCCGATCAGCTGACGGGCCTCACCTTCTGTTGCCGCGCCGCCTTACTCGTGCAGAACACGAAGAAGCTGTAGATTAAGCGGAATGGCTGCGTTCCTTTCGTCGACTTGAACTCAGAAAGATGAACACATCCTTCCATACTCATAGTTCACTAGTAAGCTCCCATTTGGCGTGTGTGAAGGGTGGTGAAGAGAAGATAACGCCGCCAGCCTGCCTCCAGCCCCACGCTGCCGCCTCCCGACCTCCCATCTAGCGGCACAAACACATAACAAAGACCAACCCACCGCCTAATTCAAAACTTTTCAAACATTTTTCCAAACCTTCATTAGCCTCTCTCTAGTAGTTCAACTCTCACAGTCTCTCGGGGAACCCAAGTCCTTCAAGATTATCGCCACCCGCAAAGGGGAACTAATTTCGAGGTATTTCATAGGGTATTTAATATATTTTGTGGAAGGCGACAACGTCAACTCTCAAGGGCATAGCTCCACAACATTGCCATTTTCCCATCATCAATTTCTTCGCTCGATCAATGGCCGCTCATGTTATACGATGAAAACACTGCAAAGGGACTTTCCTCCATATTCAGACGCCACGGGGAATATCGAGGAGTAAATCTTAAAATGAAGTTATATATAATACACGGTGAAATAATATTAATGGAAATGAATATCATCCAGAAAACTGGCATTGTTCCCTAAAGTGGTGACGGTCTGGGAAAATTGACTCATCTGTCAAACAACGAATGACTTATCTTCACGTAATATACATGTTTTATTGTTAAGTAGCGGTGACTAACAGATAGTTATATAAAAAGAGTAAATGTGTAATTATTAACATGAAATATGTGTAAAAGACAGGGTGCTTCATTTTCCACTTCTTATTTTTAACGTCAAATTTGAAGATTTGTGTTATATGATTCGAGGTAGCCGAGATTTTTTTGCGAGTAATTGTCGGATTTTTTAAATACATTTACTACACAAAAATAGTGACTAGGGTTTAGATATACATGCAGCACTACGACCCGTACTTCGCCTGTACGTACACTATGCCTGTAGTGCACTACGACCCGTATGGGTCGTAGTGCTCTTCCCAATAATAAGAAAAAGAAGAATTATGTTTAGAGGAAAGGACTAAAGCCATAGGAGTGATAACAGAGCCTGGGGGTGGGAAGACATGTTCAATTCAAGGAAGAGAAATCCAAGCCCAACTCCTTAGATCAAGAGCCCCTCACTAGAGTACACACACACACATACACCTAGTAGCGACCAGTGAAGAGGTGGGGCCAGGAGCTATGAATCGACCTCTGCAACCACAATTAGGTGAGTACACACCCACACACACACACACAATACGAGAATGACATAGCATCGAAAGCCAAATCTAGCCCAAAGCTGTTGTACAGCCACATCAGGAGAAAAAAACAGTCAAGGACCAGGTAATCAGGCTGAGGAAGAAAGGAGGGGAGATCACAAGAAACGACAAAGAAGTATGTGAGGAGAGATGTAGGGAAGTATTTTCAGTAGAGGTACACCAACAATTGCTGGACACACTATACACAACCGAGGAAATAAAGAGGCTGCGAAGTGAACTAGATATCTCAAAGGCGGTGGGGCCGGACAGTATCTCTCCGTGAGTCCTGAGAGAGGGAGCAGAGGCATTGTGTGTGCCACTAACAACACTCTTCAACATATCTATCAAAACAAGTCAACTATCTGAGGTGTGGAAGACAGCAAATGTTGTCCCAATCTTTAAGAAAGGAGATAGGTAGGTAGCATTAAACTACAGACCAGTGTCACTAACATGTATAGTATGCTGTCATGGAGAAGCTTATCAGGAAAAGACTGGTAGAGCACTTAGAAAGGAATGAACTTTTACACGATAACCAGCACGGTTTCAGGGAGGTGAAATCCTGTGTTACAGATCAACCGGACTTTTACGACAAGGCGACACAAGTAAGGCAGGAGAGAAAGAGAGGGGTGGGTAGACTGCAAGAAGGCTTTCTATACAGTTCTGCACAACAGATTAGTGCAAAAACTGAAGGAGCAGGCAGAAATAACAGGAAAGTCACTCCACTGGATCAGAGAATACCTGACAGAAAGGAAACGAGCGATGGTACGTGACGAGATGTCAGCGGGGGCCTCTGTGACGGCCAGAGTTCCACAAGGGTTAGTCCTAGGGCCGGTGCTGTTTCTGGTATATGTGAATGACATGAAGTGATAGATGCACAGGTGTCCCTGTTTGTAGACGATGTGAAGCTAATTCGGAGAATTCAAGTAGATGAGAGTAGATAGGACTACAAAGGGATCTGGACAGGCTGTAAGCCTGGTCCATCAACTGTCTCCTGAAGTTTAACCCCACCAAGTGCAAAGTCAGGAAGATTGGGGAAGAGCAACAGAGACTGCAGACAGAGTACAGGCTAGGGGACCAAAGACTGCAAACCTCACTCAAAGAAAAAGATCTTGGGGTGAGTATAATACCGAACACATCTCCAGAGGCACACATCAACCAAATAACTGCTCCAGCATATGGTGCCTGGCAAACCTAAGAATAGCATTTCAACACTTGAATAAGGAATCGTTCAAGACTGTACACCGTGTATGTCAGGCTCATATTGAAGTATGCAGCACTAGCATGGAACCCGCACATGGTCAAGCATGCCAAGAAATTAGAAGTTGAAAACTTCTGGAAGTTGAAAACTCAACTGGAAGTGGAAAACTCAACTGGAAGTTGAAAACTCAAATGAGTCACAGGGATGTTAGGAAGTATTTTTTTCAGTCACAGAGTTGCGAGGAAATGGAACTATCTTGAAACTGAGGTAGCGGAGGTAGGATCCATACATTGCATTAAAATGAAATACTATAATAGGAGCAGGGAGAGAGTGGACTAAGTAGTGACCAGTGAATAGGCTGGGCCAGGAGCTGCGGCTGGATCCCTGCAACCACAAATAGGTGGGCACACACACAAACACATACACACATGGTACAGGGCCAGGAGCTGAGTCTCGACCCCTGCAACCATAATTAGATGAGTACACACACACACACACACACATCGATACCTCAAAGGCAATGGGACCGGACAACATCTCCCTGTGGGTCCTTAGAGAGGGAGCGGATATACTGTGTGTGCCACTTACCAAAATCTTCAACATATCCCTGGAAACTGGGCAACTACCTGAGGTATGGAAGACGGCAAATGTAGTTCCCATTTTTAAAAATGGAGACAGAAAAGAGGCACTAAATTATAGACCTGTGTCACTGACGTGTATAGTATGCAAAGTTATGGAGAAGATTATCAGGAGGAGAGTGGTGGAGCACCTGGAACGGAACAAGAGTATAAACGCCAACCAGCACGGATTCATGGAAGGCAAATCCTGTGTCACAAACCTTCTGGAGTTTCATGATAAAGTAACAAAAGTAAGACACGAGAGAGAGAGGTGGGTTGATTGCATCTTCTTGGACTGCAAGAAGGCCTTTGACACAGTTCCTCACAAGAGATTAGTGCAGAAGCTAGAGGATCAGGTGCATATAACAGGAAGGGCACTGAAATGGATCAGAGAATACCTGACAGGGAGGCAACAACGAGTCATGGTACGTGATGAGGTATCACAGTGGGCACCTGTGACGAGCGGGGTTACACAAGGGTCGGTCCTAGGACCAGTGCTATTTTTGGTATATGTGAACGACATGATGGAAGGGTTAGACTCAGAAGTGTCCCTGTTCACAGATGATGTGAAGTTAATGAAGAGAATTAAATCAGATGAGGATCAGGCAGGACTTCAAAGAGACCTGGACAGACTGAACACCTGGTCCAGCAACTGGCTTCTCGAATTTAACCCCGCCAAATGCTAAGTCATGAAGATCGGGGAAGGGCACAGAAGACCGCAGACGGAGTATAGGCTAGGTGGTCAAAGACTGCAAACCTCGCTCGAGGAGAAAGATCTTGGGGCGAGTATAACACCGAGCATGTCTCCGGAAGCACCCATCAACCAGATAACTGCTGCAGCATATGGGCGCCTGGCAAACCTGAGAACAGCGTTCCGATACCTTAGTAAGGAATCGTTCAAGGCACTATACACCGTGTATGTCAGGCCCATACTGGAGTATGCAGCACCTGTTTGGAACCCGCACTTGATCAAGCACATCAAGAAATTAGAGAAAGTGCAAAGGTTTGCGACAAGGTTAGTTCCAGAGCTAAGGGGAATGTCCTATGAAGAAAAGTTAAGGGAAATCGGCCTGACGACACTGGAGGACAGGAGGGTCAGGGGAGACATGATAACGACATATAAAATACTGCGTGGAATAGACATGGTAGACAAAGACAGATGAGTCAAAGGGATGTTAGGAAGTATTTCTTCAGTCATAGAGTTGTCAGGCAGTGGAATAGCATAGAAAGTGACGTAGTGGAGGCGGGAACCAGCACGGAGCTCTGGTGGCCTGGTGGCTAACGCTCTTGCTTTGCACGGTGAGGGCCTGGGTTCGATTCCCAGCCAGAGTAGAAACATTGGGCGTGTTTCTTTCCACTAGGTGCCTGGGTGTTAGTCGACTGGTCTGGGACACTGACCTAATTTGCCCGACATGCGGAGCATAACAAGGGGCTTTCTATGTAGTAATGTCATTGTTGTCAGCTAGGCCTGTATACCTTGTACATGTACTTGCAGTAAATAAAGATATTATTATTATTGTAGTTTTAAGACGAGGTTTAATAAAGCTCATGGAACAGGGAGAGAGAGGGCCCAGTAGCAACCAGTGAAGAGGCGGGGCCAGGAGCTTGGACTCGACCCCTGCAACCTCAACTAGGTGAGTACACACACACACACACACACACACACACACACACACACACACACACACACACACACACACACACACATATATATATATATATTTTATATATATATATATATATATATATATATATATATATATTTTAACAAGTCGGCCGTCTCCCACGAGCAGTGTGACCAAAAAGAGCAGTGTACCCAAAAAGAAAGAAAATCCCCAAAGAGAAAATACTTTCATCATTCAACACTTTCACCTCACTCACACATAATCACTGTTTTTGCAGAGGTGCTCAGAACACAACAGTTTAGAAGCATGTACGCATAAAGATACACAACATATCCCTCCAAACTGCTAATATCCCGAACCCCTCCTTTAGAGTGCAGGCATTGTACTTCCCATTTCCAGGACTCAAGTCCGGCTTATAAAAAAACCGGTTTCCCCGAATCCTTTCACTAAATATTACCCTGTTCACACTA